CTATTTAGTTCAAGAATTTTATTAGTTTTTGTAGCAGCCACAGACGTGCCAGAATGTCTAACCCTCTTCCGACATTCAGGCACGTCTTAGTGCTACCAAAAGTAACAACCATGCCTTGTGAATCAGCATAAGACACACGTACCAAATTAGTATAAATAAGTAGCTAAAGCAAAATATACACATTAATATACAGTCATTTACCAACCCACGACTCGTCTATCATTCCCCACTAAACTACCATGGCGAAGTGGTGACCACCAACACCCTTCCAACTGCGCCATGGTAAACTGGTGACCCCGGCGACGAAGAATACCCCGACGTCGAAGAATACCGCGACTGGAAGAACACAGCCCGCCTCATATAGTGGACTCCGACATGGCAGCAACACACGGAAAAAAAAATCAACATTTTGATTTTCTATCATACATAGGTCTATATTGTCTTCGTTCTCCTACCAGAAGAGTATTTAGTAGGAACACAACAGTGATCTAATGCGAGAAGCATCTATAAGCTTTTAGATTTATAGCCGATTAAAGAGTTTTGTTAAAGCGAAAATAAAAATGTGGCCAGCGATCCTACAAGTGACGATCGTATTAATCCAGTCGTATTAATCGTATTGATCCAGTTTAAGGTAGGTGAAACGGCCTTTAAACAGGTCGCGAAGATTGCAAGGAACGACAAAACAAAGCCAGTGTTCAAGGGACCATATAAAATCATTCATCTTCACTCTAATAATATTGCAGAAATTGTAGGAAGTCACCCGAATGCTAAATCAATCCGCGTACATTTCAGACTTCTCAGAAGACCTCATCTTGTTCCCGGTCAGTTCTCTCAGGAACCGTCCTGCTTTACGCATCAGCCACCACAACTGTAATTCAAGTAGATCCTTCTCCTCGTTCCCTCCTACTTAAGGAAGGAAAAATTCTCCAGCTAGTTGATACCTTCAGCTTTGTTTGCTTTTATAATATTTCAGAGATACATATAGCTTCTCTTAAACTTTTAGAAGTATTCATTAGAACTTAAGGTTTCCAAGCTCATACGACACCTGAAACTCAACATAATCCTTTTAAGGAACAAATAGCCCATACGTTTAGTGTAATTGATAGTCAATTAATGTTTTTGTTACTCCATATTAGAGTTAGGCGTGGCATCATTAACGGTTTAGGATCCGTAGGTAAAGCTATTACAGGAAACCTAGATAGCGACGATGCAGTCAAGATTGAGCAGGAGCTATATAAGTTTCGACATAAGGTAGCCGATATATCCACGCATCAGAAAAACACAGTAATCTTTGCTGAAAATCTATCTCAGATTTTAACAAAAATTTACATATGATTATGTGTAAATTTTTGTGGAAGTGGAAAACCAAAAGAAATTAAGCGCCGTACTGTTAAATACCACGGTTAGTTCTAGAGTAGTACTTAATCAATTACATTTTTTAGATATTTACATTCAATTAGATTTTAGTCTCCAAATAATTTTAGATACTTTCATGCTGTTAGAAGATGCAATTACTTTTTCCCAATTAAGTATTATGCACCCTATGCATAATAAACCCCCCAAACTTTTCTTTAGTACTTGTAACTGACATTACTATTATAAATATTCATGAAATCGAACGATCTATAGACGTTAAAGCATATAGTACAATACAGATTCTTACATTCATCTTGGAATTCCCTTCTGTAGATACCCCAGCATACGATCTGGTTCATATCTATTCCATATACCCAACTCCCTAAACCTTACCGTTATTCCTAAGTCCAAATTCCTTGCACTTGGAAGTGAAGAGTACGCCTATATAGACGTCGACGCCTGCCGGACGATTACTGATTCTCTTCAGCTTTGCAAACACTTCGACGCCAGACCGCTCAAAGCAATAAAGGACTGTGTGCTCTCTCTTCTAAACCAGGAAAAAGCAAACCGCACATACGCCAAGACGAATCTACAAAAAGGAAAAGTTCAGAAAGTCACGCCCACCAGTTGGTTGATCATCACACCACGGGATGAACTCTTGCGATCCTTCTGCGACAAGACGACAGACTATAAGCGTTTATCAGGCACTTACATCATGTCACTCTCGAAGCAGTGCCCAGCACAAATCATGAATAGAACCCCGACGTCACACAGTAGCACTGTAACCATGAACACGAAGTACCCGGACAACATACGCTACGAGCTACAACTAGAAGACATCCCTCTGAACGATATACACCATTTACTAGATAAAATAGCAGAGATGAACATTAATTTCCACCACTCCAAGCTGGCTCACGTTGCTGGTATACGTCTTCGGCATGGCCTTACGCTCATAGAAATTATATCGATGCTACAAGGGAAGACAACAGCAATCTGTAGTTAACGACCAGACAACCCCTGCCACGCCCGCTGGAAGTTGCGGAGCACGCTTCTATCTTAAGGAGGGAGGAGTTACCAAGCCGTAAGGCCTGGATATAGCTGACGTCGTATGGAGGTTACATGCGCAGCCCAGTAATATAGCTTATAAGCATTTGTTAAACTGTAATTATATTTTATAGATAGATAGATAGATAGACAGATAAAACGTTTATTTGTTACTACATTCACACGTACATAACAGCAAAATAATAATTTAAAAAACACAAAAACACAAACAAAACAAAAAATAAACAAAAACAGCAGAGTCGCAGCACTGCTAGACACCCAGTTATGTACGTGTGCTGCAGCAGTGCAAAAAGGTCATAGCTCAGCGTCGGTGTTTACTCAAGAGCAAACCGCTGATTTTCAGCTATAATCTAGAGGTAATCGCGGATACGATAATCAGCTCGCTGACGTCATTTTTCCATTTAGTTATATTTAAACATATAATAATAATTAGAATAGAAACCAAATTAATAGGAAGATAATATAAATATAATGTTTAAAAAAGAAATTAAAAATATTAGTGATTTAATTCAAATTATATATTGTAAGTGTACAATATATAAAAGAAAAATTAAGATAAACAAGTGAAATACAGATATAAAAGAAAATTAAATTGTTAGTGGGTTAATCATGGTTTTAATACACAATATATGCAATAGGACTGGACTGGACTTAATAGGCTGATGATGATGATATGCAGCAAATTTTATTTCTAATTTAGTCTTGTAACAGCGCTTTGATAATAAACATTCATTTTTATAATTAAAAGCCTCTTCTTAAAAATCCATTTCCTGACCGCCAATACGTATCTAAGACCGAGAAATTATTCAATGCTTTTTTTTCCCCGCTATATGTACAGTTGAGCATGTTTCTAAATTTAATGCACAGCTTTTGCTAATACCATTGTTGCTATAGCCCGCTGTGTTGAGGTTTCTGCTTGCTACAATTGTTTTAGGTACGAAAACTATATTCTGACGAAATAACCGAATTCACCGGAACAATTGAAGTTTGTCAATAAAATATCATAAATATATTATATACTATACCGCATACAATACAATATTTTGGCAATATTTCATAATATAAATTGAGTTAGTGATGCGTAGAAGCTCGACCTTTAACCTTTGCTTCTCTGAGATATCTTTAATGGTGGCTAAAACCTGGCACAGGGACAAAAAAATAAGACCAGTGTTATCGGTATCAGTGGCACCACTGATAAAGATGTTATTTATTTTTGATTGGCAGAGTTTCAACGGCTTTTTTTATTTGCACGTCATGACATACATCTTACCAGCAGGGTTAAAAAAGCAGAATAATAATATTATGATTAATTAACAATTCATATTATGAATTTCCAAACAAAACAAAAAACACAATTCATATATTTGACAGTGGAGGCCTCCATAGAACACTGGTAAATACATGAATTGCGTTATACGAATTGTAAGAAATGCATGATATGAATTGTCAACTAATCATATTATGATTTTGCCAACACGGCCATTTTAGTCTCACCGATAGAAGATCCATTCTTTTCAAGCAGTTTATTTCTTTCTTTCTTTATTTATTAAATCATTGCAACATATATTCTGTTATAAATTTGTTATAATTTTACATGTTTGAACGGAATTATAAGTAAAGCTTCATTGATCTACTAGGTCAATGTAAAGCTTTTATGTATTGTTTCCATGGATCACTGTTCCACAGCAGAAAATGATACCTGTAACTCCATCTATCTCACTTTAATAATAAGTGTTAAAAATTTATACGGTTATATACATACCGTCGTACGATACTACTTACTTTTACTGAACTCGAAACTAGAATGCCTGATACATCATCTGATGTCGTAAAAATTAATGAAAGTGTGACAAAATGTTTCTCGTAACGTGTGGTAATTTGGTGTTAATTTATGTTAATGTACGAATATTTATTTAAACAAAAGCTACTGTTATAAAAAATATAAATGCGCTTATAAAAATAGTTCATAAAATACTTAAATTGTTGCACGTCGTTATCATGCGACAATATAAAAGATATGAACAATAATCCTGCACCTTTTCATTGGCACTACGATGATTTTGATACAGAAAAACTCGTGTAAGGCTACCTTTCCACCAGAGATGTGCGACGTACCGAAGCAGTGTGCGAGGAAAAAATAAAAAATCCACCAATAGGATTACTTCATGGTCCTAGCCTCGCTTAGCGCAGCTCCGGCAGAAAAGGGTTAGCGGAGCTAAGTTTTTGTACCCATACAAAATAGCGAGAAATGTGTGCGAGAGATATGTGTGAGGAATGTGTGCGAGGAATGCGGGCGAGAATTGTGTGCAAAACGGTGAGGAAACTAGAGCTACTGAAGTATGACACTGACATATCGCCACCGCTCATCCCACCACACCGTACCCCGCCCGCGCATAGCTAAAAAGAGTTAGTAAAGCTCCTCGCACAGCTTTGGTGGAAAACATCACACAGTTTCACAGCGCCGTTACACATCCTCGCACCGCCTCGCTACCTCGCACATCTCTGGTGGAAAGGGAGCCTAAATCTCATTTTACAAGTCATCAATTTACCAAAACAATCATACGTCCCAATTCATCAACACCATCATCATATTAACCGGAAGACGTCCACTGCTGAATATAGGCCTCCTCCAAAGATCGTGTCAATTGAATAGCATCAAAACGGGCCAAGCATGTGGTTATTTTTAACCGACTTTAAAAAAAGGACGTTCTCAAATCGACTACATTTCTTTGTGTGTTTATTACGCGAATTACTCCGTTATCCGTTATCCTTCTTGTTGGAAAAGGGTGTTTCGTATCGTCGTGATATTTTCTGTTTATCGTAATAGATTTTTGTTGTTATAAGAAACAAAAGTAACCCTTGTACCGCTGCAATATGATCGACTTTTTTTTAGAGGACGTTAATATGCGTTAATAGTTAGACGTCTATCAGCTATTGCTGCTAGATGGCAGCGTATTGAATGAAATTCCAATATAAAATCAAAACGTCGTAACTTGCAATGATAGGTGTTGTAATATGATATGAACTTTGAACGATATGCCAACTGGGAAACGTTTAGATTATATTAACAGTCCAGGCTTATCATTGTTAGGATTTCACAGTGTTTAATATTATGATATTGTGAGTTTTGGCGACAGCGGTTCTGATAGTAATCGAGGCTTAACACACTTTCATTGTTTTTTTCCCATCTTTTCGTTCATGATCTCTATTCTTTAAAGCGCTTTAACATTTTTCTTGCTTTTTTAACATACAAATTACATTTATTCAATGTACTTTGGGTTCATAAATTAATATTAAATACCTGAACAGCAGCCAACAAGATTCCAACAGCAATGGAAACGCTCATGTCACTGTAATAGTGCATGCTTTTCTTCCCATTTTTGGTCCATGAGTACGTTTGTCTGAACACCAAGACAAGCGCGGGAGCATCAGACAAGTATTCTTTAATATGATTTGTGTGGAACGGGGTTAAATCTGTCACCCATTGTCTGGACATTTTCTTGGAATAATTTAGATATTCCTCTTCTTCAATGATATCTCGAATGGCAGCTTTGGTTTCGGCGTCTTGAACTAGTACAAATGTCCAGGGTTCAGTGTGAGCACCTGATGGGGCTGTCCCTGCAATATAGAAGGCATTAATTTAACTGCCTACGTGGCCGAACGGTTACCATGCCATGTCAAGGTCCCAGGTTCGATTCCCGGGCCGGGAGAAATATTAGTATGACCTACATTTATTTCTCTCGTGAGTTTGGGTGTAATTTGTGGTTGTCTACGTGTGTCCATGGCACCCGCGACACAGGATTTCCCTAGTGCGGGGCTATGTTGAGTGTGTACGTTATTATTATTATTATTATTATTATTATTACATCAACTTTTTAAAAGAAATAAAGAATAATCAACAAGAGCAATGATTGTTGATGTTACACTGATATACCTTGCCTATCGTGGTCAAAAAAATATGTACATGAAGACATTGACAGTGTTTGACTTTAACACAGTAGGTGCTCAAATTCTCTTGTTCATTTACAATTTTCGAAGTATAAAGTAAATAATAATGTATTTATTTCCAAGCATTAGTTCACAACAAAAACAGCAAATCTAGGATAAAGTTAGAACATTACAAGATAATATATATTCCTTGACTCTCAAAGTAGGATAACATGTGACACGAGTGCCAGTGTAAATGATATTTGAATGACCATCATCTTATGGACTTCGTTTTTCAGAAATTTCACTTTTTCTTTGTTTCAACACATGGCGTGTACCCAATTAATTCTTGCTTTTAATTCAAATAATAAAAGTAGTTAATTAAATTATCTAACTTTTGTGTGAGTTACTTCAAAATATACCGTCTCCTTGTAACCTGGCAGAAGGTAGGTGAGTGGTAAGTTAATATTGGATTCAGTCTTTTTTCTTTCTGTTTTGATTTTTGAGCTACACTTTTCGTCAGTCGAAAATCGAGTAAAATTGTGTAGAGCGTTGAACACCGGCGTAACGTTGCCATCGGTATTCTACAGGATATATCTTGAAGAGTAAGTATTATGTCATTTTCGCTAATATATCTTATTTATATTTATATATATTTATTTGCATATTATATTATAGTAATAGTAAAAATAAAGCACTAATATTTCTAATTTATTTATTTATTTTTTTTTTTTTTATTCTTTTCTTTTTAATGAATTTCTGGCGTCGAGCTCTACGGGCTTACTGAAAATCAGCGCTGTGGTAAAGCTACTGCAGCATATGCTGAGATAAGTCCCGTGTTGGCATGACGCTACAACACAGGCCATACTACTGTCTATTGTGCATCATGGTTTTAGTTTTACTTGTAATTATAAGTCATATACCTACTTATTTGTATGTAAACTGTTTTAGTGTGGTTTTGTGTTGTTGTATTCGTGCCAATAAAAGTATGTCTATGTCTATGTCTAAGAGTGTGCGATGGAATTGCATACTTTTAATCCGCCTTCTTCTTTCCATCAGTAGGGGACTGGACGTAGGCTGAGGTTCCACCCTTATGTTATAGATATTCCAAGGATTGGCACAAAGCGTTTTGCTTCCACATTTATATAATATTTTCGGTATAATTTGGGCCTTTTCAAAGCGAGAGTGAACAGGAATAATTATTTAGGTGTGCATGCTACATCGTCGACCTCATTGTCACTTTCTATTAGGTGAGATGGAGGTCAAATGCGCAGTTGTTTCTTTATAAAAATAATGTTATTTTATTTACCCTCCATTATCCCCATCTGCGGTTATCCACCTAAAAACCTAAGAAACTTGACGGTCTACTTACCGGCTGTTTTGATAATATTTTCCAAAACCTCTTGAGGAATAGCTTCAGTGCTATACGCCCTTACTGTTCGCCTTTTCGCCATCAGGTCGTAAAATTCTCTGGATCTTTCTAGGATCTCATCATCAGACCTCTTCAGAGGCTGATAGGGAATGTGAGGAGTGTCTTCCGGTATAGTGGAGACAAGGTGGTCAGGATCATTATCGTCACCGGGGAAGTCTCTTTCTAGAATAAAAAAAAGAGTTAATTGAAACTGAAATACGTTAAATGGAAATAAAATTCAATGAGATGAAGTTGGTTCCTAAACAATGCGATTTTTTTTAAGAACGGAGTAGATTCGAACTTATAAAAAATATTTGTGAACCGATTTTCATGATTCTTTTTTTGTTGGAAAGGGGGTACTTCCGTAGTGGTCTTATTTCATTTTGAAGGAAAGCATCCACCTCAAAGGGTGGCTGTTCACGCAAGAAGATTCATTTTTATAAATAGCGCCTAACTTTAATTTAGGAGCAATTACTTTAATGGTTGATTTTGCTATTTCTCCAATTCAAGGCGTTTTTCTCTCTCAAGGTATACCTTTAGTAGTGAGAACCGATTTTTATTATCTCCTGTGGCAAGTTCCGTATGGTGGCGAACTAGGGGATGAATCTGGGTTTGCGCACTTTCCGGTAACCGATTTAAAAAAAAACTTGGCAAATAGATGTAATTCCACGTACTTTTGAGGTCGGTCTTTTTAGTACTCTGTACTGAGATTATGACATTAGTTAAAATGCTTACTCCTATCAAGAAATTGGTTCAAAATCAAAGAATGTTTATTTCAGAGGTGAGCGGTTTGCACTTGAAATCATGTTATTGATTAAACTACTGCTCATTTGTAAAGCATCTGCATTATTTCACGGGAATCTTCTCCTGAGAATGATCAAACTAGAAAGTTTAGTAGTTGCTCTTTGTAAATATTTGAAGCTTTGAGTGGCACTGCAACTGTTACGGACAGGCATGTAGCTTACCATCAGGAACAACTTGATCGTCCCGTCACTAGATATTAATAAAAAATGTCTATCACTTTTTTCATAAAAAATTACTGTTCTTCATAATATAAATTATATTATTTTCATAAAATGTAATGTGACGCTGGATACTATATACCAATCTATATCTGCAACCTTTTTAGTTATTTTCAACAAACAAAACGCCTGATTGTTATATTCGACGAGACAAACTGCCTGTCGCTGAGTAGGTACCTTTGCGATAATAAAAACCTACCGTCGCTGTACTTTGTCAAACTCGTATTTTAAAAAACAAAGTTACTGAAATGAAAAAATGGACTGTCCATACAAATTTTGCAGGCTAATTTTACATCACATTTTCTTCATATTCACACACTGGCTCTTAAAGTAATGCGTCCAAATTAACCCCCGTGATAAGAAATTTAAAATAAATAGAAAGTTTTGCTGTCTCCCGAGTAATCACTCTTTATAAAATACGAATTTGAGACAGTAAGGCATCGTTATTGCTTTTATTTCTGTCACACAATCATGTTGTTCACTATATCATTGACTTACAAATAAATGGACGACGGGTCTAATACAAAAACCACGAAAAAATGTCCCAAGTCAACCTATTTAAACGTAGTGACATTTCAAGGAATATGAAAAAGCTAAAACGTTGAATTTAAATTGTAATGTCATCGCAGTACTGTTTAATTTTGCTTGCTTCGCTGTCAGTCGAACAAACGAAGACTAGAGCGTGAATGACGCTCTGTATACGATTTTAATGCCCTATAAGTTCGGATACTTTTAAGCGCGGACCCGACGTCCATATAATTGTGAGTCAATGATGTATATACATTATGTACACAAAATTGTGGAACTAAAAATGTCGAAATAAAAGTACGTTAAGTACTTCAATCAGATGCTTATCTTCGTCTCCTCTTTGGATCTCTTTGCATGTTCCGAAGCCCATTTTACAGTTTCCGCGGGACGATATCTCTAGTCATTGACCAGAGACAGCAGCATCATATTATTATAAGTATTGTGCATCCCAAATAATTAATGCTTTGTTAATGTTTTAAAATTTGATTGTTAATAATGTACATGCGATATATGCAATTCCACGATTTGTCTAATTTTTTATTCAATTTATTTTGTATCAATTCTTTTTTAAATATGATTACATTATTATTTCAATTTATGATATAAGCTTAAGAATTACTATTGTGTTTGGATATTAATCTGTAAGCAATATGTAATATAATAAATAAATAAAGTTTTTCAACCCATCAATCTCAATATTCAATACTCAATATATTTATTGCATTCATATGGTAAACATGTCTTAAAGTTAAAATAATGCTACACATATGAGCCCTTTATTAGGGATAACAATAACAGCAGAGGTAGGCCGAGGTTTCAATTATTAATTAAAATTGTTATTTATCAAATAATAATATAAAAAAAATGTCATATAATAATAAAGAAATACGTCATATTATGAGTAGAATTATGTCACTTGAAAATTTGAATTTAATTAGATTATAATTTTAGATATATAATTATACACTATAAAGTCACGCCACTGTAGTGCTACTACAGTAGCATAACCCTACAGTATATAATTAACATTTATTTATTATTCAAATTTATTATAATGTTATTATTTTTATTTGTCATCAAAGTATTCATTTAAATTGTAATAGCATTTATTAATAAGATGTAATTTTCATTTATTTAGAAACAGTGAATATTTTTCCTCGCTTTTAATAATGGGCGGGAGCTCATTGAATATCCTCACCGACATCGAGTGGGGACTTGAGCTGTGTATGTGTAGCCGAGATCGTGGCAGAAGCAATCTATTGCGTCGTCTAAAAGTATGTCGTTGAGGCAGGTCGTCAATCTAAAAAAATAATCTAAAAAAATATTGGCAAGTTTTGATGTTCTGATTGTAGATGAGAAACGGAATACTTGAAATTCCGTTTCCTCCATCTTCAAAAAGTACGTATATAGCCCTTTTTTAATTTCGCGTTAATTTTAAAAAGTAACGTCAGTTGCTCAGTAAGGAGTTAAAAAATACAATTTTCGAAACTCCTCTATACAATTTATTATCTAATGCATTGAGTTACAAATAAATGGACGACGGGTCTAATACAAAAACCACGAAAAAAATGTCCCAAGTCAACCTATTCGAAATTTAAATTGTAATGTCATCGCAGTATCGCGCTGTCCGTAGAACAAATGAAGACTAAAGCGGAGTGTCGCGCTCTGTATACGATTTTAGCGCCTTACAAGTGCGGACACTTTTTAGCGCGGACCCGACGTCCATATAATTGTAAGTCAATGATCTAATGAAACCCGTTTCGGTGGTCTAGTGTCAAATCTAGAATCAGCCCTAAATACAAAGAGAAACCCCTAGATAGGTAGTTAAAACAGTAGAAGAAGAGTTCCTAGTGACAGAGTTTGTCCAGTGAAGTACTGCCACCTTACATATTTCTGCCGCCAAGCAGTAATGCGAAGATTACTGCATTCTGATCATAGGACTTGTCAAATTATGTCTCAAGATGGCGGGCAGTTGACCAGATCGACTGCTGACAAGGCATTGAGTATATAACCAGAGCTAGAGACGAAATAAGGATCATACATTCCTCGTAACTTATCAGTGATATATCACTTACAAATATCAAATCTCGTTTGCACTGAAATATATGTAAACAGTGCCAACAACTGACCTGTGAGTACGTCTCCGTATGTTCCAAAAATATTCTATATTTATTGTAATAAAGATAATATTATCTCTAACAATGGCGTGCTGTTCCATTCGGTGGTGTGGGGAACAACAGCAAAACATCTAATTACAAAACAAACGGAATCAAATTTCATCAGTAATTAAATATGTAATTTTGCCATTTTCATCCATTATAGCAAAGCTGAAGTTAACTGGTCGATTTGAAGCGAAATAATTGACGACACCCATTGACGACATTCGTCAATTGTTTCGAATTCGGGCTGGCCAATCGGAGCGCAGTTGTCACCGTAATGATTTGGCAGAATAATTTTTAAAACAAATTAAATGACATTTCTTGTCTATTTCTGGTTATATACTCGACGTGACACGGTGCTTCTCAGATCTTTGAGTTCTGACTGTGACTGCAACTACTATGGACAGGCGTGTCGCTTACCACCAGTAACTTGTTCGTGCCATCACTAGGTATCATTAAATTTTAAGGACACTATTGTGATTTACCCATTGTAGAATGAACCCCAAATGTGTAGTACCTTATCGAGTTAATCAATGAAATATGATTAGATAACAGCGGATATGTATTTTATTTACTAAAATCGCTTACTAAGATTAGTAACGCAATAAGTGGAAAAGTAATATTTCATAATTTATTAATATAGGTAATATTGTCATATTTGCTTATTTATTTATTAGCAAAAGCACACCGAAAGACCAACAATACATAGTAATAGGCACGATAGTTAAGAAGGTCACACGGCTGATATTCTAATCACATAAGTACAATATCAGTCGCAGAGCCAATTATCTAATCCTGCTCATGATCAGAACACAGAGGCCGATAGGTTTTGAAGGAGTGCAAATCTTTAATGAACTGCCGTCAAATGTAAAGGATGCATATTATTAAGGACCATAGTATAATAATAATGTAAATTTGTAAACAGAATGGTAATATTTCGTTGTGTAGTTTGTACCATGGCTTGGACTGGAATATTATTAATTTACTGATTAGTTTTTTCTTAATTAAAATTTTTATTGAATTGATATTCAATTATGTTTTGTGAAATCACTCCACTAGTTTGTTATAATTATTAATACAAAGATCGAACACTCAGAAAAAAATTTAGTTTAATAGTTTCTTCTTCTTTCTTCTGATCTTTGAACTCAAGAAAGACGATAGCATGCATGTAATTTTGAATGAAATCAATGAAACAACAAACAAACAATTATGAACATATTGTGTTTCAAAAAAACTAATGTCATTCAATTTTGAAACACAACGAAGCATCTGGAAAACAGTTACATACATAATCTATTTTTTAAATAATATACAAAGACTAAATATAAAATTAAAACTCCTTAAAAATGTTGTGTAACGAAATTTGAATTTTTATTAGATGTCAGATGTTTCACCAGCATGCCAATAAATTATTTTTTGTGAAATTACTCCACTAGTTAGTTTGGTAGAAAAAATTAAAGTATTTCGTCTTTACAGCTACCAGCCCTGGCTAGAAATAGGCTGCTTCATAGAAGTGGTTAGTTAGCTTCTGACGCGTGCCAACAACAGATCTCGTAAGACCTATCTGAGCGCAGTCCGCCATTTTCACTTTATATGGAATGGTTGTGTCATTTTTTCGTGCAAATTCTCTAAACTTCCAGAAAAATGCCTTGTTATCCTGTTTTGGAGTTCAAACGCGATAGCAGCACCAAAAATTTACAAGTTACAAGAAACGAAAGTAAAGCTTATACCCCTGCAATATGATCGCTTCTTTTTGGAGAACTAAATCAATAACTCCAGTTCGCCGTCGTTCAACAATGGACCGCTAGATGGCAGCACATTTATTGAAAGTCGTAACTTGCAATAATAGGCATTGATGGTATTAAGCTTTCAATGATAAATGCCAACAGGGTAAACTTTAAATTATATTAACAATCCAGAATTTGCTTTTTCTTTTTGAATTTGATACTACGACCAATCAATATCAAGATTTTGTAGTATTTCAGACTAAGAATGTGTCAGGTTTGGCGCCATCGATTCTCATAGTAATCGAGGCCTTATGGCTCACACTTCCATTTTTTTTTCCATCGGCTGGCTAGAGAGAATAAGTATACTCCCCCAAAACAACCATCATCATCATGTCAGTCCATTAACACCCACTAACACAGGAGGCTAAAACAACCATGCAACTAAATAATTACCTGCCTCCGTGGTCGAACGGTTACCAAGCTGGACTGCCATGCTGAGGTCTCAGGTTCGTTTCCCGCGTCGGGAGAAATATTTATATGGCCTACATTTATTTCTCTCGCGAGTTTGGGTGTAATTTGTGGTTGTCTACGTGTACGTCTATGGCACCCGCGATACAGGGTTTCCCTAGTTCGGGGCTATTAGTGTGTGCGTGTGCATTATAATCGCGGTTTAAACTAATTAAAATTACCCTTACTCGAAGTTTGTACAGGTCAGAGTGCGATTCACGTTCAACCTATGAAAATATCGTTGAAGTTACGTAGTCGTTCGATCGAAGTCCTATCCAAAATGGGTTTTCACGTATCACTTGAACGAACGTTGATATGAGTAGAATCGAAACGTAACGACTAATAAACGACATCTTGGATTGTGAAATTTGACATTTAGTCGTCGAAAGTCTATTGACAGAACTGTCAACATTTTATGCGAATCGTATGCTGCGAAGCATAATCTTGTGTATAATGTGCTTAAAAGCGAATACATGGTCTTTAAGGCAAGTAGTAGGTGCCCATCACATGTCCCTCCCATATTTCTTAACGGTCAACAACTGAAAAGGGTGACGTCATTTAAATATCTAGGGCACATGGTAACCGACGATCTGCGTGATGACGCGGATATCAAGAGGGAGCGCAGAGCATTGGCCATGAGATCGAACATGATAGCGCGCAGGTTCAGCAGATGTACAGCTCAAGTAAAAATAACATTATTTAAAGCGTACTGTACATCGTTGTATTCTTGCAGTCTATGGAGCAGGTTGGCACAACGATCTCACGTTGCTTTGCGGGTCCAATACAACGACGCATTTAGGGTACTTTTACGTCCTCCACGACGCTGTAGCGCTTCCGGAATGTTCGCGGTCGCAAATATCGACGGATTCGGCGCGACGTTGCGCAAGCGCTGCAGCGCGTCGATGCGCAGGCTGCGCGCCAGCCGTCAGACTCCTGTCTATTGTAGCTGACAGGTGGGACAGTGGCCTATTAAGGCACTGGTCTTCTCTCCATTTAAGTTTAGGTACTAACATAGTTATTATTTAAAGTTCGTTTTGTAATACTAACACCCTATGGATCAACGTTGTCCGAAATAAATGCATTTTATTTTTTTATTTTTTAGCAGAATACGTATAACATGTCGTTTAGAGTCGACTTAAGTTCGATTCATATACCAGAATACGCTTTTTTAATTTGGATCGAACGAATTTAAAATGGGACTCGTTGACCTTCACTGTCACACGTGAAGACGAATAAGCAGTTCGACGATTGAATCGCTACGATATCGTAATCGGTTTGATTACGTGAATCACCCCCAGGGCCTCACTTTAAGGGTCGTATTCTAGAACTCTACTCAATGCTTAAGTCAGGATTTGAGTATGGTTTAAAGCACTCGAAATCATACTCAAGTCCCAGCCATTACGGTCGTATTTCCAGTGTTTGAAATCATACTCAGATCCTGACTTGAGCATTGAGTAGAGTTCTGGAATACGACCGTGAGAGCTCTCATGCCAAAAAATGTTTTGACGTTGGCTCCGCCCAAATTTGTGAAACAAATATATGCCTGAAGTTCGCGTGATATGCGACAGGAGACGTTGAATTTTGCGCATTAAAAGTACCAAATTCGTTTTAGCGGAATAACTCTAAAACTAAAGGGATTTAAAAAAAATCCGTAGTAACAGTTGTCGATCATGCATAAATATAATTAATTATATCATTTTTGTCCTAATAACTTGTAGCATTTCGAGGATAAATCGAAAAAGTGTAAAAATTAGAGGTCATTTCGTGATTTTTATCTATCGAGGAAACTTTATTGTTTTATATTTCTGATTAACGTCTATGCTTGAATATATCGTGTAGTTACTCATACAATATTTTATTTTTAACTTTAAAGTGTATATGCCCCTCTAAAATCAAATCGAAGATTAGGAATATTTCCTCTGCTCCCTCTTAAGGCGCTTGAAATATTCAATGCTGTACCCAACCATATGAAATATGAAAAAAAAAAACACTTAAAACTTGCATAGAACCTTGTGGGGAAAATGCAGGGCAAATTCTTAAATAATTTTCAACAATTAATATTGATATTTATTAACATCAAATTTAATACTGTTTACATGTGATGGTTATAACTATTACATGTAATTGCATTACACATGTAGGGACTATTAATGTTTATAATTATGAAATTGATAGTTAGATATAAGTTAGATTAACGATGTTTGTTTTGTTGTAGACCTTTTGTTCAAAATTATGTTCCGACAATGTCCGACAGAGAACACAGGCGGTGACTGAAAAACAGCACTCTACATTGAGGCTTTGTCCTTTTCATCAACATTAGAAATACAAAGTAGAATAGCTCGTAATTTATTAGTATAATATACGTATTCTATTCAGTTCAGTTGATATAAAATCAGTAACAGAGTACTAAAAAACCGACCTCAAAAGTACGTGGAATTACGTCTATTTGCTAAGTTTCATTGAAATATCCCCTAGTTCGCCCCTATACAGGACTTGATACTGGAGATAATAAAAATAGGTTCTCACTAGGACACTACTCAAAGTATATCGAAAGAAAAACACCTTGAATTGGAGAAATAGCAAAATCAACTAAATAATTGCTAAAAGTAATTGCTCTTAAATTAAAGTTAGGCGCTATTTATAAAAATGAATCTTCATGCGTGAACAGCCACCCTTTGAGGTGGATGGTTTTCTTCAAAATGAAATGGGACCACTATGGAAATACCCCCTTTCCAACAAAAAAAGAATCATGAAAATCTATTCACAAATACCGGAGTTATCGCGTAACGTGCATACAAAAAAAAAGAAAAAAAAGAACATACAGTCGAATTGAGAACCTCCTCCTTTTTTGAAGTCGGTTAAAAAAAATTGGTATGTGTAAGTAAGCCATTTGAGGTTATGTAGACTTTTATGCATGTAATGTATTAATTACTTGAGTGTGCTCTCTTTTATATTGCGATGCTCTAGTGTAAGGGAAAATTGAAATGTATTCTGGATCTAAGGAAACCACGTAGAAATGCAATAAATATGAATTGCACGTCAGTCATCGAACAACGTACTAACCATCAATAGTGTTCATGTAATTGCCAAGATCCGATCATTACCGCATATCGATCGGGAAATCGCCCTTGATACACATAAGTAATGCAGATAGACACCTGTGATACTATGAGTTGAATTGTTGATGCCCATGAAATGATATAAATAAATTGATACATAGTTTGTTGTTGTTGTTGAAATTTCATGAAACAAATATACAAGGCTATTTTTAAAATACTAACAACCTTGCAGGACTACATTACAACCATCATAAGCAAGAACTTTTGTTCCGTTACTAAAATTCAAACTCTGTTATTTGGTTTGATAGTCAAAAGTAGGACTCGTAAATACCTATATTTTTATTTATAATATCAATTGAGAGGACGAACAAGTAGAGCGCCTGGTGGTGAGCTAGATGCTTGTCCATAACAGATGCAGTTCCACTCAGCTCTTTAACCGTATACCCGCGCATTGGTCTTTCAGACCGACGGTTATGGTTTGCCGTGTTTTTTCGGAAACGGAAAACATTAGAGCGTTGGTCTCACTGGTAGCTGCATGGTTCGTGGCTAACTTCATTTCAGTGTAACGGGAGTATTCGTACATACAGCATACAACACATGTACCCGTACAAAACACCGATCGGTCCCTGAGATCGACGCGGGCGGGTGTCACAGTTTCAGGCAATTAATATTTTTAGTAATTCCTATAGTTATGTATTATTTTAATTATCACTGAGTTTACATTGTGTATGATATTTGTAAATTATTTTAAGTTTATAGCCTCAATTTTCTGTTATTGGGGCCTCGGATGCTACGGAGTCTATAGGCATCCTAATTAATTTCCTTAGGGGACGACCCACAAGTCGCCACGACTGCGACCTTGACCTGAAAGTCTCTACCAGGGTAGAGTTGGAGTACTTTACCTTTGGGCCACACACCTCTAGGTAACGTGTCATCGGCAATGATTACCAAGTCCTACATTTAGAGGAGTTTGGGGAGTTCAGGATAGGTAGTACCTCCTTGACCCACCTGGACCAAAAGTGGTCAGCCAGATGGAGGGGTTTCTTCTACTCTACCCTGCGGATGAGGTCACGGTACGGCGTCAATCATCCCGCTGTCGGAACACCTCCCTCCTGGGCATGATCTACCTTGGTAAACTTGGAAGACCCTAAATAGGCTGCGGACCCAAGTTGGGTGAAGCAAGGCGTTCAAGCACGGCTGGGGTTACAGCTCGGGGAGCGCATGTCCATATGGTGTTTCTCCCCAGACAATGGCACATCTTTTGTCCTGCCCTGCGTGTCCCTACACCTAGGACCTGTACAACGCCACTGATAATGCTATCTCAGGCGCTAAGTACTGGTCCTCACAAATATAAACGTCAGAGTCGACACACCAAGAAGAAGAATATGTATGAGGAACGGATGAGATGGTTTTTGGAAGAGGATGATACGATTCCATCTATGAGGGCGAAAACAACACTGACTTTGAGGATTATATCGAAGTGCAGCAAGTAAAAAAGGACAAATAGCAGGAGATAGTTCTGAAAGTGAGGAGAAGTTTCTAGTCAAATTAGGTGGAATAAAAATGGTCATAGATGACAGTAAGAAGTATTTTTGAGCAAGTTATATTTTTGTACGTAACATGCTATACAGTGTGTGGCTTTCATTGACCCACAATTATAGTGGCTTTTAAAATTTTATATATTATTCTTTGACATTTCAGAGTTTCTTTTATATTGAAACTATAAAAGTATATTTTTGTTCAAGTTTTAGTGGCTCTTAGGAATATTGTAATTTACTAATGGCTGTAATAAAAGACTGCTTATCTCTAATAAAAATAAATGTTTTGTATAAAACTTTGCTTTGTATAATTTAATACATTTCCTTTTAATATTAAAATTAATTTTACAATGATATTTTACTAAACAACATACTAAAATGGACGTCGA